GATAATATGAACAATATATAAAAACTTTGCTAACATATGACAGTTGACTTATAACTGCTATATTTTATCAATAAAAATAATGACAAAGAATGGTCTCTTTCAACAAGATAAAAAGACAAAATTGTAAACTAACATATGCAATTATTCATGTCAAAATTTTAATTTAGTTTTACTGTTCATATTTGTCAATCTTCCCCAAACAAAAAAGATTTCGAATAAACAAGACTAACTTAGATAATGAAGTTTTCTCAACCAAAATTTTCATGCAATCTTTTTCGCTATTACTTTTAAATATTATTTTTTCAACTTTCAATATATTTGACACTGTCCATTATGTAATGTGCTTCTTGTGATTGATTAATTGAAAATAAATATTCAAAAAATTAGAATAGATCATAAAGATATAAAAGACAAACTATAACTTATATAAGTAAGAAAATTGAAATCGATAATATTTTTCCTCATAATGCCCATAAAGTATAGAAATATTTTTTGTTTTTCAAAATAACCTATAAAAAAAATAAATTGTGTAGTAGTATGAGAACGGTTGAATTGTTATTTTGCAGCCTAAACTTCTAATATACTAAATTTCCTTTCTTAAAATAAGATTAGAACAATTTTATGAATTTGTATAAAATTAAAACCCATACTATTTATTTTCATGTCGAATGGGATACTACTTGAGCAACATGATTTAATTTACATCATATGATTATCTATAAATTAATTAAAAATATATGGATAATCATGATATGCCTATATACTTTGAAAATTAATTAAATTTTAACAATAAATAATCTCGCTATATTATCATTACTCATCTATCTATTTATTTGTATTATTCACGCAAAGCAATTTCTTATAAAAAAAAATCATTAAAATTTCGCTGTAACATGTTTCATTGGAATTTTATCATTTGTTTACAGTAAAAGTGACTCCAAATCAAATTAAACAATTTTGCACTATATATAATATTGTGTGCAGCTAACTATTTTGAAAATTATTGCCAGTGATACAAAATATAACATATTCAATGTATTTATGATTTAACTTATGATAATTAGTGTTTCTTTTTTTAAGAAAGATATATCTAGGTTGAAAAAGTTCGTTTTTATTTATTAGTATTGTAATAACTAAACAAGAGGTAAGAATGATGTTTTACGTATAAAAAAAAAAAAAAAGATAATACTACACAACAAGAAAGCTTATAGCTCACATTCCATCCAAAAGTAAAAAAAAAAAAAATAATAATAATAAAATTAATAAATGTCCTATATCAATTGAAGATAACGAATTATAAATTAAAACATACTTAAGATGCATATTTATAATTTTTTTTTTTTGGTATTAGAAATTAGTATGTTAGTCTTAATTCTTTTTATATTTTTTAAATTTTTTATTTTGAAATATTAATATTTTTTATTTATGTGATATATAATATCACATTATTTCTTTCCCATCATGTTTGATTTGGTCAATGTATTGTAAATAAAATAAAAATATATTTATTTTTATTGAACTAAGCTAAAATAATAAATAGACCTAAAAGTATCTTATAAAA